AAATTTCCGCGTTTTCTTAACGTTGATCAAGAGGAATTCTAAGGGAAAATCATGTCCGTCAGTGACACTGCTGCTGGGGTGAAAGAGCCTGCAAACGCCCTGTACTTTATTTGAAGTGTAATGGCATTTTCAAGTCACGTAGATTTCTATTCTATAAGTGATTTTTTTAAGCACGTGAAGGGCCATTTGATCGCCTAATATGACCCTAAGGTGGGGCATTTGAGCACCATTTTTGGCCCGCGGGATGGGAATTTGCCCCCGAAAATTCAAAATGTAAAATGCGTGCAAATGCTGCTCACATGTAAAACTTTTCCTGCCTTTCACATTCTTTTTGAGAATTACCTTTATATGCGGTATTCCTATGTGCACGTCCCGAGGGAGGAGGGGTAGGAGGTGGTGCTCCCAGAAAAATTGGGTCGGGATGTGCGGCCCGCTTTCCAATGCCCTTACTCTATTTATGGCCTAAATCTGCGATTTTTCCCATAAGGGTAGTTCCATTTATCGATGGTGGGAAGGTTATCATCATTTATACTGTTTAAAAGGCCGACTGAAGGTAGATTTTTCCTGAAACAACGGCTAAACCGAGGAAAATCTCATTTAAAATCCACAATCTGACCTGTAGTGGTGGTTGTTTTATTTCTAAGCGTTTAAGGTTCATGTATATTGGTTACAGGTGCGACCGTCGTTAATTATCCTTGTTTACCATCAAAATGGCGAATATTCGGCAAATTCGTGGAGCTCTGTGAGGCGTGCAGTGGAGAGTGCGCACACATTTTATTGTATCCATTTTTACATTGATTTTGGTACTTTTGAGTTATCATCGGACCAGGAGCCATGGCTCCTGCATAGACTTGATCCTAGATCAGGTCACACATTTGCGGAAATAGCTTTTAACTTTTGGTATCTTAGTTACGCTTCACACATTCCGGAGTTCGGCAGGAGTTATTTTAAAAAACTCATAACTCCGTCAAACGTTGACAAAATTTAACTGTTAAATCTTTAAAATATTGAAGAAAGGTGAAACTTTTGCATGTAAAAAAATCAGCTTGTTGAAATAAAAAACTGTGTTTTGGCAGCGTCGGACATTTGTATATGTAATAGGACTACATGCTGTCCAATTTGGAAATAACTGGATGAGGAAAATTCCGAGGACTGCCAAATTAGACGAGGTCGTAGGCCGAGGCCAATTTGGCAGTCAGAGGAATTTTTCTCACCCAATTATTTCCAAATTGGATAAGCATATAGTCCTATTACCCATTAATTATATGGCATCCAGAAACAGATGAACGAGGCAAATATCAAACAGGTCAAACGCTTTAACCCAGGTTTTTGTGCTTCTTTGAGTGTTGTTGTTCTGATTATTCTCCGTCATCTCGAGTAAATCAGTAGGATCTATCTCTGGATACCTAGCTGAAGACTCACCAATCACTGGGGAGCTTTTTGATACCATGGTTGTAGCATCAAGTGATAAAGAGTGGTCACAACGACCCATCAAAATCTAACTGCTGGAAACTGTTTTGAGCCACCTTAATGACACCACGCCCATTATTTTAAATTAATGTCCTCCTACTGCTGCGATGGAATTAGCTGCAAAGAGTGACGACTTCTAGATGTAATTAAATTCTCTGGTTTTAATGCCTGGGTCTTAATGGCTGCAAATCGACGCCAATTTACTTCCAGTGAGAAAGTATTCCAAATAGACATTTATATTAAAAAAATAACTTGATAGAAACACAGAACTAGCACCAGCTGCTGACCTGGATGATGGTGCGAGCAAGTACAACTTTCATTTTGATAATCGAATTAAACGAACGATTTTTCCTTTCTTTTTCTTACAGGATTTTCGAAAAGAAATAGAAAACATTTTCTCCCTGTTTCTATCGAGTTTTAAAAAAACA